TCTTATCTGGGGGAAACAGCCTACATGTGATTCCAGAACCTCATTTTCAGAATTATGAAGACAAAATCAGCATTCCAGAGTCTTGTGTTTGATGATATCCACTCTCGACAGATAAAATTGAATGGTCAAATGTTATAAGAAAATGTTCAGGCTTACACATGTGCCATTCCCCTTCGTGATAGAAAAATTCCTATTTTGCTCAGATTCCTTTCCTTTCTTTTTTTTTTTTTTTTTTTTTTTTTTGCGGTACGCGGGCCTCTCACTGTTGTGGCCTCTCCCGTCGCGGAGCACAGGCTCCGGACGCGCAGGCTCAGCGACCATGGCTCATGGGCCCAGCCACTCTGCGGCATGTGGGATCTTCCCGGACCGGGGCACGAACCCGTGTCCCCTGCATCGGCAGGCGGACTCTCAACCACTGCGCCACCAGGAAGGCCCTCAGATTCCTTTCTTAAACAGAGGTGCCACATCTCCCATTTCTCCTGCACCTGAATGAGAGGGCCCACTGCACAGCTCCCACCCTGGGGAAATGCCCAGAGAGAGACGGGGAAGAGAGGAGGGGGGGGAGAAGGTGTCTTTAAGACACCCGGGCCCCATTTTCGGAGAGATTTTGATCTGGGAGGTCCTGGGAGAAGCTCAAGTATCTGGACCACAGGCTGTTCTGCCTCCCAGCTGCAGCTGGGCTGCTTGGTGCTAAGACTTGCTCTTCTTGGAGCTCACCTAGGCCATGACTTGGAGTCTCGTGTATTAGGCAGCAACTCAGGTGCTCCCCGTGCCTCACTGGGGAAGTTTTCATTCAGAAGCAAGCTGAGCTCCCTAACTCAATGAGACCGGGGTTTGAGTGTTTACCTCTGTGACACTAAGGGGACAGAGGCATTCTTTTTGGCATGAAGACTTTCCTAATGGGAAGGACCTCTGCCCGGGGCAGTACTGAGGCCAGGCTGGTTGTAAAGGGCCCGGCACACACATGGCAGGAAGATGATGGAAAGTCAGCAAAATGTGACCCAGCCTAGAGGGTTATCTTCCCTAGTGAGTTAAGACGGCACTGTTTGGGGGCATCTTTGCAACTTACTACACCCACAGCAGGAAGACCTCTTTATGGGGCAATCGGCCATCCCTCCTCTTTTTTGCTGTGCAGTTTGTGAGTTTGCCATTGAATCACTATCCCAGAGTAGTATCTTCTGGATTAATTTCCATTACCCCAGAAAGGTCTCCTTCACAGCTGAGATCCTTAGGTTTTTAACTCCCGAATCTGCCCGCCCCCATCTGTAAAACAAGGTAAACAGCAGCCCAGACCTCACATGCAGTAGTCATTGTTGGGATTAACAGAGATAGTTCATGTAGGAGTTTAGCATAGCCTTCGTTGATAATGTAATTAGCACTAAGCTCCCACTATTTTATTTAAATGGGATTTCTTAGAGTCCCCAGCATTGATTTGTTAATTCATGGGGTTTCCAGAACCAAGCAGTTGAGGAGGTGTTAGAATCCTCCTCTCCCAGGGCCTGCAGGTTAGAGTAGGAACATCTCTAGCTGGGTGAAATTGCCTCCTGGGGTGCTCTTCCTATAGCCTGGACCTTTCACGAATAGCTGTGCAAACCCTCCTCACACTACCCTTCCCTAGGAGGAAGCAGACTAACACCCAGCTACAGAGAAGTCTCACTGGCTTGACTGCAACTCCTGGTTAGACATCTAACAATCCATCCCAAAGCCCACGCTCCCCAACCCTCTTCTGTTCTGTGGTTCACCAGAGATTTTGTAGAGCTAGGTCTTGCCTGCAGGAGCCTGGAGGCTGGCCTAAAGTGAGGCTGGTGGGAGAGGCAGTCAGAGAGGTGAGCATAGTCCTAAGGGCCTGCAGAGAAGGAGAGGCTAGGGAGATCCATAGAAAGAGCTATGGAAAATGGATGGATGGATGACTGGGCGAATGAATGAGTGAGTCTTTAAATTATATCCTCTTGGAGAATGTGGTCTTTGAGATGGAGTTTGAGGAAGAAAGTGAGGAATAATATTCCAGGCAGAGAAGGTGGCAGGAGCTGAGATGGGCAAGGGGAAGGTAGTCATTCATTCATTCATTCATTCATTCACAGGCCGACGTGTCCTGAGTGCCTATGTGCTGGGCACTAGTTTAGTTGACATTAGGGGAGGGGGAATTCTTGGGTTGGCTGAAACCTAGGTGACTGGAGATAAAGTAGAGGGGGTGGATTAGGGTCCTGCAGATAAGGGGTGTTGGATACCAAATGGAGGAAGCCCACAACCCAGGTGGGAGCCATCTGGGTGCAGGGTGAATATTCAGGATGGGTTGGAGGAGGGACCCTTTGCAGGATTCGCTATAGACACCCACACCTTCAATCTGTGCATCACCTGTGCCTGTTGCTTATCGCCTCTCAGTCTCAAGTTCAGTCCACCGTCAGCTTTCCCCCACTGGGAAGGGGCCAGCACCTTGTTTTCTCCCCAGCCTACAGGGTGAGCTGTTTCCTGAATTTGCCCTCAAAATGATTTTGTTATTAAGACCAAACAAAAGCAAACTTGCCCCTGTTTCCTAGCCCCCAGTCATCGCCATCCTAGCCAAAGTCTGTGAGAGTCTGTGTTCTTATTCACACTTCTGTGGTCCAGATCCTTTTTCAAACAAGGTCTTCTTGCCAGAGCTCCTGCATCTTCTTCCTCTCTGGAGCCTGCTCTCTCCTCCTCGGGTCTGTAGAGAACCCTACATGGCATTTTCCATCCCGGTTGGCCCTCCCCAGCTTCCTTACTAACTGAAGACTGCAAACCCTTTGCACCCTTGTTGAACCTAAAAGCTCAAATCTCCTTTACACTTTCAAGATTGGAGGCTAAACCAAAAGCCAGATTTAATCAAGAGCTGAATCTGCGGCATTCTCATCCCAATCGCCAGAGAGTATGCAGAGGCAGCAGCCCTGCTGAGTGAGCGAGAACCCAGACCCTGTGGTCAGCAGACCTGGGAATGGATTCCTCTCTCTTCCCTGGCAGGGTGGGCACAGGCAAGTGACTTGACTTTTCTGTGCAAAGACTAAGTGAGAAAACATGTGTCAAATGTAAACTAACCTCTAACAGAAAAGCAAGTTCAGACAAAAGAATTCAAACTAAGGAATACCTTTAAAGGAGGTACATAACAGTTGGGCTTTGGGATAAAGAGCACCAGTGAGAGACTTTCCCATTAAGCAGCATTAAAGTCAGAAGCTATATGTTCTGGTATCCCAGGTTGTAGCCTTAAGCAGCCATTTTTGCAGTATCTCCTGTTTGCCATAACCTTAAACCCATACAGTACCTGAAAATGATTCAGTTTGTGCTAGCATTGAGCAAAACCTGTACTCCAGGAAAATGCACTATATTTGTCCTGTGACTCCTTCTGGCACGTGGGGTCGGTCTGGCAGCCTGGGAGCCCAGGTTTAAGGGAATCACAAATGCAACGCCCCTGGGGCTGGCCCTGCACAAGAGCAGGCATACCAGGACCCTTAATCCCCCTTCGTTTTCCTTCCCCTTCCAAAGCCTTTTAATCTAAAAGTGAAGGTGACAGTCTGGCTATTTCATCAAAAGGTAGACTCTTTAAAAAAAAAAAATTTTAACTATCATTGTCGTGTCTGAAGGGTGGTGGGGAGGGACAAAAACCTTTAAATCCAGTGTGATGTTTGGTGCAAGACTGCCCCTCAAGGAAGTCCCCTGTGGGAAGGAAGCTATCCCACCTGAGAAGGCAGTGGTGATCAAACATTTTCATTACAATAAAAAAGTCACCCCAGACAAAGGGACCTGTGTGTAAGCTAAGTATCTTCTACTGAGAAGAATTATATGCTTGGTGGGAAAAAAAAAGGGCTTGCATCAGAAAATGACCATCGCTTCCTTATGCCTAGAACATGTCCTGAGGAATCACCATGCACGAACCCCTTGTGGCCCCAGCCAGAATCTGGGTGGGGGGAGTTTAGCATAGGTGAGGGCTACGTGAAAGAAGCAGATTCAGCCCTCAGCTCTTAGGAGGAGGCCGCTACTGAAATGATTGATGCCAAAGAGTCTCTGAATAGTAGCAATACAAGTAATACTGTCACCTTGTGTTGGTCTTGCCCTTGACAGGCTACATGCATGTTCATAAACATGCATCGTTTTGTGCCGTTACTAATCCTCTAGCGGAGAGAGGCCAGCTGTTACTACCAGATAGTGGTGCTGGCCTCTAGTCCAGTACACGCCCCACCTGGTAAATGTCTGCAGAACTAATTAAACTTGATGGAGAAGATAAAAAAGCAAACCACAGTCTTTGTCTCCTGCTGGTTTAGCATGTTGTCTTTCTGTCATCACTAGGAATTCTGAGTACACACATTTAGTTTAAAAATAACCTGGATTTTTATGAACTGCCAAAATGAGCTCGGTGTTTTGGACACACTTGCCGCCCTCCTCACTCCCCCGGGATCTGGCACGGTTACCATAATAACGAGGTGCCTCAGCAGCACCTTCCCCTCAGATGATAAGCTGGTGAGTTATCCCTTGTTCTCCAAACAAGAGGAGCCTGTGCAGGGGAGTAGGAGAAATTTTGCTGATGACTTTGCCTCCAATAGCAAAGGCTGGAGGGGCCCCTTTGGGCTTTTCCCCTCCGGCCCAGCCTTCCTGGGGAGTGGGGAGAATGAGACTTCTGCCTGGAGAGCACGCTAATGTTCCTGTCTTCCTCAGCTGCCACTCTGGGTACGTCGGCGCACGCTGTGAACACGCGGACCTCCTGGCCGTGGTGGCCGCCAGCCAGAAGAAGCAGGCCATTACTGCCTTGGTGGTGGTCTCCATCGTGGCCCTGACTGTCCTCATCATCACGTGTGTGCTGATACAGTGAGTCTTTGCTACCCCTGAGGCCGGGACCCCCACCTGCAGGCCCTCCTGGGGCCATAACAGGGCCACCACGACAGTTTACTGCTGTGATGTCTGATTAGTGTTAGCAAAGCAAAGAGGAACTTTGGTGACAGCCACGTTGTGTGAAAGGCACACATCCTGGCAGGTCTGCAGCACACGTCCTGGGAGGTGCCCCATTGAAAGCAGAGCCAAAGGTGCTCTCTCTCTCTGCTGTGGGCTTGGAGCCTTCACCATTGTCATGGGGATGTGCAGGGGTTCCAGAGGGAACTAGAAACGGCTCCCAGCCTCCCGTGGGCAGTAGCGGCCTCGCTTCCTCTCCACAGAAGGCACTTGGCGAATCCTAAAGCCACTGTTGCTGTTATGACAGGCCTCCCCCTTTCTCTACTTCTCTGCCCTATTCCTCCTCCTCCTCCAAAACTCAGTCTCTGCCTGACATCTTCCAGGAAGCCTTCCTGAGCCCTAGACCAACTGAGTCCCGATATTTCTTAGCCTCCTTTGCTTGCCCATATCTCCCGATTGGACTGCTCTGCAAAGGGAGAGACCCTAGGGCTGTATTTCCAGCATCTGGCCAGACTTATTCCCTGGAAATATCTGGAGACCTCTAAGTCACAGAGCAAGCCCTCAGAGTATGCTACCTAATTGGACACGCACAAGAAATTGACATACCGGCCAAAGGCTGTGGCTAGCTCAGCGTAGAGTAGCTCGTGGTGGAAACAGTAAGTAGACAGGCCCCTCTAGCCAGGCCTGGAGGAAGCAATGCGTGTTCCCGCAGGAAGCCAGATTTGAGCCCTCTGGGGTTGCCTGGGTTTGGGACAGATAAATAAGAGTCTCCGTCCCGTTTGTTTATTGGCTGTTGCTGTTGGAGCGTCTAAAGCACACGCTCCTGGTTCTGGGAATGAATGGGGTGCCCCTAGAGCCCCATCTTGTTGACAGTAGCCACAGCGCACTCACATCCTCCTCCTGGATCAAGGCAGTGTTAAGGGTGAGGGATGAGGTCTCAGCTGGGCTGTTCTACTCCCATGTGTCTTGGGAAAACATGTTTGCAGGCTGGGGCATAGCTCAGGTTCTGCTACTCGTGAAGACCCCCTGGGGAAGCAGGAGCAACCTAATGACCACTAGCCTCGATTCTTATGGCCGGCTGGCTATGTGGGGGCTCCCGTCACTCCCACAGTCCTGTTTCTGTGGCCAGGAGGGTCCCAGAGCCGTAGGAACAAGACTCGGTGCCCATGTGGGCCTCCCCAGGGGGAGTGAAAAGCTCATTTTGCCATATTCTCTAAAGACAGAAACAACCCAGGGTACTTGGGCGGCCTCTCTGATTCCCAGGGAGGAGTTCCCAGGGAGGCAGCCATCCCATCTCTCCTCTGTCCTTTCCAAGCCCATCCTTGCCAGAGAGCAAGTTCAGAAGCCCTGAGAGACCAAGCCCCCGCCAGACTGCTGGTTGCCGGGGCACGGGGTCCCTCCTGAGTGGCAGAGTTGGTTGGGACCAGCTCATCCCATGCCAGAGGGACCTAGAGGCCTTGATCTCACTGCCCTGGGCCATTCCTGTCTGGGCAGTGACGGGGCAAGCCCTCCTGGCTAGGTGACAGCAAGACAGCAGTCACTGATAGATCTGGAGTCAAGGCCTAGGTCCCTCCCGCGTGGGGTGAGCTGGTCCCAATCTGGACTCTGTGGCTCAGGAGGGACCCGGGCCCGGGAGACTGCTCTGGCCACCCCTGGCAGAAGCAGCTTGGGCAGAAATGTCCCAGGGTCCCTTCTCAGCTCTGCTGCCCAGAGATTCAGGGGCTCTAGTAACCTTCCTGGGGCAGTGCCGAGAGAGAGGGGCTGGGGTGGGGATCGTGAAATGTCACCAGGCTCCAACAGGGAAGCACAGCAACAGGCTTGTTTCCTCATCTGTTTCCAGGCTTATGTCAGCCAGGAGACCCCTCCCAGCCCCAGACAGTGGATGTATAGGTTACATATACCTTAGGGTTAGAATGAGTGGAAACAGTCCTCCATGCTGTCCCAAGGGAAACAACCATCAGTGTCTGTAGGTAATTAATGTCTTAGTGCTTTCTTTTCTGCCCTTCTCTTGGGTTCTCTGGTTCCTTTTTTGTGCTAACTCTGCAGACCGTTCATTCCTGCCCACAGAGGGAGGCCGGAGCGTTCATGGTCCTGATGCTTTAGGACTCCGGGTTTTGGGTTCACTGAGAGGATGAGTTTGCCACAACTAGAGAATGTTAGTCCTCAGAAAAAGATTCGAAGCCACGGAGGTGCATGATTTATTCTTCCATTCCTTCCGTGGGTCCATTGCAGCCCACCCACAGTCCCAGCTTTTCTGCTGGCAATTCCTGATGGATGACCCCGTCCCTAGCCCTCCCAGCCCTGGCTAGCCTGAAGTGGTAGCTTTGGCCCAGTCCTGACAGTGGTTCTGAGGCTACTCCTGCATTTCTGGAGTTACCCAACTGCTGCTTTATGGAGCAAGCAGCCGGTGGGGGACCGGTCCCCTCTATCAGCTGGATCCAGGTACCTGTCTACCAGGTTACCCTGCCAACCCAGAGCAGAGCAGCCGAATGGGGCTGGTCCTCTGGGGTGGCCAACAGGTCCTCTCACAGGTGGCCAGCTCCTGCCCCAAAGGCCACCACCCTGCAAAGCCCTCAGCCCCCTGCTGTGTCTCTCCCTCCGGAGGCCCCATGGGAAGGCTGGGTTAGAGCCCAGAGCTGCCCAGCAGGCCCCTCGGACAGACGCTGCACCAGCTGGGCACCCCTGCCAGGCTCCTGCCAAGACTGTGTTCTCTGCACCTTTGCAGCTGCTGCCAGGTCCGAAAACACTGTGAATGGTGCCGGGCCCTCATCTGCTGGCACGAGAAGCCCAGTGCCCTCCTGAAGGGAAGGACTGCTTGCTGCCACTCAGAAACAGGTAAGAGGACTGCCTCAAGGAAAGGCCTTTTTCCCTCGGGAGACATTATTGGTTAGAGAAAAGGACCACCTTCTCCAGGTCAGGGCAGAAGTTCTTGGAGGATGAAGCAGAAAGAAGGGAGAAAAAGAAGAGGATATTCATCCTACTGAGTCAGGTTTAGTTTATTCTAATGTGTGTTTTACTCAGAAGGGAGCTCTTTTATCCTTACTGGTGACTGTGTGACCTTTAACAAGTAACTTAACCTCTCTGAGCCTTAGTTTTCTTGTTAAAAAGATGTTGTGCAAATTGAATAAGTACTGATATAAAGTACCTAGTGTGTCACAGACTGTAGACATTCAACAGATGTTCATTCTCTTTCCC